CCTTTCGGTTGCCCTACAACTGACTGAAGATTTGCTGTTCAGACTTGAAACACTTCATACTGTGCAGACTTCTCCACTGTCATTGAGTTTCACTGGATAGGAAGCAGGCTGACTCTGTATTTTCTGCTAGAAGCTAAAACTTAATATATCATGCCTTTAATCATTCTTTAAAAGGACAGTTATTTGCATTATCAGCAATTTCATTGGGAGAAAGTGAGATCATTTCAGTTTTGCATTAAAAGCATTTTTAGCAAACCTCGATGTTATCTGTGAAATAAGCTCTCCAAGTTTGTTCCTACGCTCCCATTAACTTCCAACAAGACAGAGATGTAGAATCACAGTTTCCTCAACTCTACAGCCTGATAGCAAACATTTTTTCTGCACTCCTTTTAAGCTGGAGTATCACGTTTCTTAACTTGGTATTGTGACATGAACAGAAAGGAGTAGTCGCCATGAGTGCTTGTAGGTAAAGGGCCAGACTGTGCTGAGGTCCACTGCCACCTCAAGTGCCAGTGTCAAAGTTTTGCTGTTAGGATCTTTCTTCTAGCTCTGCATGTGGAAACCTCATCTTTAACTCTCCAGCTGTCAAGCATGTAAAAATCAGATGTTTATGAAGTCAGCTATAGTATATTTGACAGTATTATGCATTTAACATGTTTTCATGTGGGGAGGGAATGCAGAATTTTATTAAGGAACTAGCGAAAGAACATGAAAAGATGCACTATATGACCAGATGTGTCTCTCTTTCCAACAGCCACAGCACTACATCTGTATGTGAGCTGTCTGCCAACGAAACCAGGAATAATGAAAAAGAAGATCCCTTAATCATGGAGGAGATGCCATTTCTCAGCTTGATACCCAGAGATATTCTTTCTGATTATGAAGAAAGCAGTGTCATTCAGGAAGTGCGTAAAGAATTAGAAAGTCTGGAGGACCAAGCAGGTTTGAAGCCTGAGCCTGACTTAGCTCATGACCTGTTTTTGGGAGATGAAATTTAAAGTCCAAACACCAGACAGTTTAGTTATTTCTAGAAATTTTTGTCTAGTGTCTCGCTTATATAAACCCTAAACACATACTGCTGGATAGAAGTGCAATAAAGAAGGTCTTCAATGAGCATCCTTTTCTGTGCACCAAAGCCGCATGTTTACATTATTGCTGAATTCAGTCAATCCTTAGACCAAACCTTCTGTCAAAGACAAATGAGAAATATATCGATGTTTCTTCTGGATTAGTACTTTCCCTTTGTACATTAGAAATAATCAGTGTTTGTACTCATTAAAAATACACATAAGCATAAATAATCTTAAGTTATTAGTGACTGTAGAAGTGACTTTTGAGTACATATATTTAGAATTGTTTATTGTTCTAGAGTAAGAACCATCTGCTTTGGACTGGTTTAGTCATTGATTTTAAGCAATTTTTTATTTTTTCTTTAGAAAATATAATCAGTGAAGCTGCAACATACAGATTCTGGGTGTCATGTCCCCCCCCAGCACACACATTGTGGAAGGATGATAAAGGATGCTTACCCCCGTAGATGAACATACCCAGAGCTTCTTGTCAGCAGCGTACAACAGATGGCACCTGTCCTGCAGCAGCCTTCTGTGTAACTGAAGTTCCACAGCTAGAGTGTCCCTTGAGTTTCACACGCAATGGTCCTTGGCCTCCCCCACTACATGAGGGGCATACTATAAAAGAAAGCCTACAACATTTTCCATATAAAACCCAAATACTTATATCCATATAACGCATTGGTTTCTACAGAGGAACTTTCAGCTTGACTATTCAGGGCCCTCTCAAGGGCTAAAATATACTATTTAAAATTGCAGAACAAACAGCTAAATGAGCTGACTACAAACAATATAGATTCTCTGTTGTACACTGAGTAAGTATCAATATATAGAATAGTGCAGCTACAGTTACAAGGCTATGCCTAAGCCAGAGCTAAGTAGTGCCACATACATGGCAGCATTCTGTGCTACCCAGCCACACCTTCTTGGATAACATCAATTAAAGGATCTGTTGACTTACTCAATCATCACCCACCCTTCTTCTGAGAGAGGCAGTGAACATAAATTCATTACTTCAGTTGAGCAGTAAAGACAGCCTAAACAGCTTCTTACATTTAGAGACTTGGGCTTCTCCTACTTGATTCTATTACATCCAGAGAAAATTCTTTGAGAAATGGCTTGTGCTGTTAACACACTTCACAGGCATAAACCTATATGTGTTACAAAATGTGATTATCATTACCATCTTAACAGGTCATTGATTTAAGAAATCAATAGCAAGCTAAGAGTAACAAAATGTGATTGTCATTACCATCTTAACAGGTCATCGACTTAAGAAATCAATAGCAAACTAAGAGTAAAATCTGATCCACCAAACGCCCCAGCTCCCACCTGTCTCAACAGTTTGCTACAATAGCTCTTCCACTGTTAATGGTTTTTTGGGATATAGATTTCACCATCCGTTCTTGTACATGGGTAAAAGAGGACATGAGGCTCCAGCCAAGTAACTTTTCATGGAGCTTCTTTCTAAATAATCCCTCCTGCTTACATCTAATTGGGAACAGTAGGGCACCAATGACTTAAGAGCAGCTACAAGACTGTGGTACCAGCCTGCAAGTCCTTCACCACTTCTGGCCTATGAAAGCTTTTCAACACATTTCTTCAGTACCAGAATTAATGTTAATAACCATTATCACTATGAACAGGAAGGATATTTCAGAGTGGTCTTTTAGTTTAAGGATTCAGATCTACCACCAGTTCTCACACCAACACATGCACCTGCTCTCAGAGTTCACTGAATTTACCTTTCTTTTCTATCTCTAATAAAATTACTGCGCTTCAGAGACAGCTTGTCACATACAAGGAGAAGGAACTAAGTATCATTGCAATTTTCCTGTTAAGATACTGCATGAGAGCATTAATTGTCTGTAAATACCACCCTACTTAAGGATAACATTATTTTCCCTTCAAGTTTCTTGCTGCCACAATTCCTGAAAGATCAAGTACTGGTATTCATGAGAAGTTCAGCAAGATTCCACAGAAACTCATGGCTTTGTGTTTCTTTACATGCCCATGGTCAAACTCAAAAACATTTGAAATGATCAGAATATAAAGCAGATGCTGACAAATGTCTCCCAGAACCACCCAGAATATATTCTAGTACACTGATGCAGAAGGAAGCGCACTGCTGGACAGGAAATCATTGTAAGGATGTCCCTCAGTCCTCCACCCAGACTTCTGTTGACTTCCAGGTTTAAAATTAGTTTCTTCAAAGACGTTCTGCTCAGAAGTTCCCCAAACAGGGCTAGAGATTAAGCAAGCAGGTTTGGGAATTCTTTTCTTAACCATACTTTATTCCATCTCTAGATTTTTGCCTCTCCAAATGTCTGAGTTTGAAGAAAATTCATGACCCATTTGATTGGTTTTCTCTCCCAAAACCTCCAAGGAACCTTCAAGCAGCCTATATACCCATGTAAATGGTAGTTTAATGAAGCACTCTACCTCCTGGACAGTACTCACTCTATGCTTCCACCTCATCTACATTGGACAAGAGGTGGCACAGGTCAAACAGAGGAGTAAGAACAAGGAAATTCTTCTGTGCAGCGCCTGGTTCTCAAGCTGCCAGAGCCCTCAGCAGTTTTACGTTGCTGTGGGTTAGCATGCCAGGAAGAACTGAACCTTCAGTTATTCAAACCCCTTTTTCCTTTCTGGAGCAGAACTTAGCTGCCAATCGTATCTGCAGCTTAGAATTTTTGCTGGTGAGGAATTCGATTCTGGAAAAGGAAACTTAAGAGTTGAAGAAAAATTTGGTGTGAATGAAAGTAAAGTGGAGCAGCAGACAGGCTACAAAGCACTTCCTGCAATACTGTGCACACGCGTGGGGTGTGCATATACACATATATACACACAGCCTTACACTGGTGACATTGCCTTGGAAAAGTCTTTATTTCCATGAAATAATTCTGTAATTTTTCAAATAAAAACCACAGCATTTAATGATTAAAATAACACAACAGAATGAACAAATGTTTTATTGGCATGTTCATTGTTGTAAACAGCATCTGGCATGGAAAAAGTTTACCAAAATCTTTTGATTGTTATAAATTAGGTGGTTTTCCAAAAACTACGGAGAATTGTTCTCTATTGATCTTTATGGACCAAAGCAAAAAATTGCTGTTCCTAGGCTTTGCAATGAAATCATGTTGACTGCATCAGTCTTTGCACCACAACCTGAACTACCAAGTTTGTACGTTGAGGTGTTAGAGGTCGCCCCCATCTTTGACTACATATAGCTACGAAATCAACTCTGGGAAAAAGAAAATGACTTTCAGTGGGTGGAGAAGACGCAAACTTGTAATAGTCTCAAAAACAAAATGTACAAAAAGTAGCTGAACAAAAACTTCATTAACGAGGGGAAATACAACCCTATAGTACCCAGCATCATCAAACATAAAATGAATACAAATTTAAATAAGCAACTATACTTCCAAATGTACACAATGACTGTTGATATGTGAAAAGAAATACCATGGTAAAAAGCTGAACTGCAGTTCTGTTGACTGGATAGGGCAAATTTTATTTACACATTGAACGCAATATAGTAGAGCTGCTCATCAGCTTCCGCAACCTATTAAAACCCAGTTTACCTTACAACAGTACTTCTGCAAAATGAACCAACACCCACTGGCAGCTTTCTGCAGACACCTCTCAGACTTTGTGTTATGGAAGAATATTCTAAAACCTGACGCGGGCAGCACTTCCATCTTCAACCCTTTTCTGCTGCTTTTCTAGAACCAATGTGTTAACATTTATTTCAGACTCTCTGATGAGGTAATGCGTGTATCAGTGAAACAAACAGAAAAAAGGATTCTTTCATGGCCTTTGCACAGCTTTTATTATTAAGCTATGAGTATCCTGTTTGAGGCTAGTTTCACTAGCTACTATGTGCACACTGTCCTCAAAAATTTCCACTCATTTCCCTCCCCGCCCACTTTTTAGTTCTAATCTTTTATTTGCACATCCCTTTTAGCTTTACAGTACATTTGACTATAGTGCACAACATGATTCCAAGTCAAACAGTGACCCAACGGGGCACTGCGCTTCTGATTGGTAACACAGCCCAACCAGTGCTGGTGTCAGCGCTTTACACCTAATAAGTGTCCTGCCGTAATGGCACTACACAGTAGTAGTGAACCTTTTTATTTTAAACAAAAAAATTCCCCAGGGAAAATGCTATAGCAAGTATCAGTCTTGAGTCAAATCTTTATTTGGTGCTCCGTCCAGATAAATTTTTAGTGCTTTTTCTTTACGAGGAGAGTAGGTTACCCGGTGTCCGGTTTTCTGGAGCCTGCTGCTTTCTTTTTTCATCAGTTCATTTCTCTGCTCATCTGTTAATTCCATTAATTCTTCAGTTTTATCCCTAAAATGTAAATATATGTTAAAATTCAGATTAATACAATAACCATAATTAGACTTCTGTCATTTTTTCACTTGGAGCAACTCAGTAAAAAACATAACTAAGCATAATACTCCTTACAGATTATTTCCTTCTCCAGAAACTAACAATTTCTCTAAACCGGCTTTTCTAACAGAGACATTCAGTGTTCTGATGGCAGACCCAGGGGAAAGCAGCAATAACCAAGCCCACACTCCTCCACCTACCTGGTAAGTCCTGTTCTTTACAGACAGCTACGACTCTGCTCTTTGTTCGGTCCCAGTGCCAACAGTTGGAAGCACCATGTCAGCCAGCCCCTACTAGAAACTACCAGCTGCTCTCCCAAATCATTTTCAAGGCCAGCACATTATCAACCAGCTGTTTCCCCCAAACTCATGTGTAATTATGAAAAATAGAGCAGGCACACCCCACCCAAGTTTAGCAGAAATGACAATATTCAAGCTTAGGCCTCAAATAGCGCCTTTGGGCTACTGCCACCAGCTAATGAACACTTCTCATATTAACAAAATTTTTATCACATCATCCTTTTTTTCCAAAGAAGCCATACTAATTTGTCAATGAAATAAACTCAGAAAATAAAATCCTGGCTCTCCAAAACCTATGGCAAGGCTCTCACAGACTCCACAAGGGATACGGTTCTGTTTGAAGAGATTCAATCCAGATATACACTCAAGCATAG